GAAGGTTCTAAATTGCTAAAATCCAAGAGCCTCCGGAGGCTTCGCCCCCTGAACCCCGGGCAAGGGCTCTGCCTCTGCACCCTGCCAGGGGCTCTAGGGCGGGCCCCTGGACCCCACCCATTAGGGGCTTTGCGCCAAGGCGCTCGCGGTGTGCGCTACTCGCGCACACTCTTCATATACCACATACGTACATTTCCCTCGCTCGTTATCTGTTATCGTGTTATGCAGAAAAGTGAACGACAGAAGCTAGTGATGGCAAAATGTCCCGTAAGCTACGTCATCTCCTGTATAAGATAAAGATAAGAAGTTAATTACTTTACCCTCGTGTGCATTACCGGCGCTGTCACATATTTCAAGTGCAGTCTACCTTTAGCGCAGTTACCTGTAACTCAACTGACCCCACCTCTCATGTGAACTTTCATTAGTGCACCTGTACTACGTGGGTGTACGTACTATCAGGGTGACAGCCAACGCCCAACTGACAGGTCGTCATAATTCCGGTACGAGTACGAGCAAATATTTGCATTAGAAGTCAAGCGGTGAGTCGGAGATAAAAAAAAATTCAATCCTTGCATCACTCTATGTTCCCATGTGTGTATTTTCACATGTAGTCTATGACCGGGTATCATGACAGAAGATAACGACATTACAAGCGACAGGTGTGTGAGTGCGTGCGAAAACAATGACAGAACACGCAGGTTAATATAATACTGTAAACCATATTTATTTAGGAAGATTTTTCGTCAATTTTTGTATGTACAAAATTCATTGAACAATCATTTCGCTTCGCCTAACAAGATGGACGCACTAGTTACGATAAGATTCAAACTGATCGATCATATAATTTCAATTTGGCTACTCCCAGTTGGTAGCAATCTCATCTTAACCTCGTGGAGAATACAAATATACCATGATATTACAGCACGTCACAACTCGTTACACGCTCCGACTTACGGTCCGAAATTGAATTCGCATCATCCAACAGATCGCGCTGCGCCTTTTTTATCGCACGATTCGTAATCAGGCGAGAAAACAGCGGGAAATGAAAGCCGCAGAGAGACATACGCGCGGCAAGCCTAATCACGTAAAATATATAAAAAACGAACGATAACATATCTACGGACGACAACTCTTTCTCTCTCATCCGAGATCATCATGAACCAGACAGATCCGGATCCGCCCGCCGTCCGGATTCTCGTATGGAACATCTCCCTAAATTCGGTGACGTAACCACTAACGCCGCTAGCACTTTGATTGTCACACACATCATCGCACTACTAAGCATCGCGTATTCGTACGTCTTTGGCCAGTCCTACAAACCAAGATGATCACAGACATAGCAAGGTAATAAAGGCCATCATAAATTAACCCCCTGGTAGCAGCTAGCATCACAGGTAACGAAACAACGTTCGAGAATACCTCATAATTATCGCAAATCACGCCACACACAAAACCCACGACCTGATCATTCACAAGCAATCACGCCTGCTCTATTGCTGCTCCAGAGGTGCAATTAATCACAAAGTAATCACCAGAATCACTCCGTTCATTAACAGGACATCCGTTAGAACGCCCTCGACTAACGCCTTTAACCGAAATATAAATGCTTTGCATTAAGTTATTAATACACGACATTGGAGTACCTTCCATTTTTTGTAAATGCATGATAAATTATCAATTTATCATAAAATGGGAATCTCCTTTAAAAATCACCTCGAGAAAATCTCATTGAGAAAGTCTACTTGAGAAATTTCTTCACGCCAATTTTCGAACAATAGGAGACCAGCTCCCGATACAAACACTCACACAGACACCGATAGAGACAGGAGCCACACATTAAAATTAACAATAAATGATCAGTGATTTAGAAATAGCATTTTTTTCTTAGATGACTAAGAACTCCAGACTTGTTCAATCACAAAAATGAGCAGCGTTTTAATGCCTAACGGCAATTTATAGTACCACAAGCAAAACGGAAGATACTACCATACCATTGAAGTCACATAAAATAGCACGCTTTGACGCACGCTGATATTAGGCCACTAGTTTACACACTAGATGCACATGAGTGACAGAGGCAGACTGTCACCATGTCTTCAATCAGCAGACTAGGGTCATAAAGCTGTAGCTAGCACCAAAGCCAATTTACACCTTTCATCTTGCAAAGCACCGCTTTCGATTTTAAATCCACAATTTTAATTGCGACTGTTTCGCGCTCGTGCCCAGCTCTGCGAAAAACAGCACGGTACAGAAACGAAAATGCTTACACTGCCTTCTAGCACGAATTCAGGACGAATCTCACATAGAAACTCGTACGTAAAAACGGACGGTGAACGGCTCACAACACTCACTCATGCACAAGTCATGGTTTACGAGACATTTGAATGACCTCCTGGCCGTGGCGCCCTCCAGCTGTGAGTCACCATCGTGCCTGCTCCACGGGACTAGCATAGATAGGCAGGCAGTCATTAATGTAGCACGTTGATCGCCAGCACACACAGACACACACGCACGCACACGCCCACGCACACGCCCACGCACACGCACACGCACACGCACACGCACACACACATACCACTGTGACCACAGGGAGAGACGGCAGTGGAAGTTGATGTAACCCGAGACATGTACATGTACACGGAAACAAGCACACACACACACACACACAGGGACGTAGTGCGAGAGAAGTCATCGTCCTCATGCGTGCAGTCATTTACGCGGTCCACAGACCACCGCCTCACATCATGCTGGCACGAGTTCTGTAGAGCGGGCAGCGAGCATGCGTACAAGAACCATTAGCCAAGCAAACGTACTTCGCAATGCTTCGTTTCACGATCGCACGATTTTTGTCGTGAAATTATAGAAAATCTTCGTTACCTCAGTATGATTTTAAGCATTTATTAAAAATAACCCCTTCATCATGACCGAACTAGCGCGATTCCTGTAAATAATCCCCAGTATAAATTCCTCATCGTACTACTCCTCGTCCCGCCAGCAGTTCCGCTGCTCATCTCACCCAAACTAGCAGCGCCCTCTTGCAGCTCTCACCGCTCGCTCTACAGATGTCACGAATCCTCGCTCTCGCACGCCAAAAAACATTTACCCGCGCGCGTCGACGAAAAAATTCCCGAGCTCGCAGAGATGCCAACACATATTTGAAGCAATCTGTAGTTTCTGGCCATCAAATTAGTAGTTCGAGGGGGGTCCGGCATGGCCCCCGGGAATTTTTTTTATTCTGAGATGCAATTTCCTGCATTCTGAGGGTCAAAAATGACAATAAATTGACAAAAAATGACAAAAATTGAAAAAAAAAAATCTTTTTCGATCACAGTGAAATTCGTAGTTTGACACAAACTGGTCGTAGTGGTGCAAAAGGAATAGAAATTCGTATAAAATACGGATAAATCGTAGTGGTTGGCATCTCTGGCTCGTCGTCGTCGTGCGCGGGGCGTCGTCGTCGCCGTCGCCGCGGCAGCTAGACGACGATGAAGACCATTATCATCGTCGCGCAGAGAATGCCGAGCATCCACTTGACGTGCCAGGTGAGCTCGGAGTGCAGCGCGCCGTTGATGCCGCTGTCGCGGTGGTAGCCGCGCTCGAGCCAGTACGCGACGCTGTCCGACATGTCGTTGACCTTCGTCGGCTCGTAGCCGAGGTCGCGGCGGGCTTTCTCGATGCTGAACGTGTGGTTCACCGACACTTTGATGCACTGCAAGCGACAAAGCAGACACGCTGAATGCGCAAGCTGAAATGGGGCGGGTCCGGGGAAGGGAGCGGGTCTCGCGTAGTGAACGAGTAGTGTAGTTGAGAGTAACCCCCCACCCCCACCCCACCCCACCCCACCCACACACAGAAATATGGATTTAAATGATGGGTTCTATACTAGCAGATACCTTCCATTTTGAATTACTCAATTTTATATTAACGTAGGCAAATTTTTCCAATGCAGGGAGAAAATTAGGCCGGCAGACTGAGGGGCGGGGGACTGATCCCAACACCGCTCTGGATCGACCACTGCTAAAGCATAACACAAATACCAAAGGCTGGTTTCTCAACTGGAGCGAATCACCGCATTACACGTGTGCTCTGGGGCCCGTTGCCAGAAAAAAATTAGTCTTAACATTAACCTTAAACTTAAGTTTTTCTCTTAAAGCGTTGCCAGAAACTTCGTAAAGTTAAGATAATTAAAAATTCTCGTAACTTTTCTCTTAACTTAAGAGATCCTAGACCCTCCCTTAACTTTAATATTAAGATGAAAATAACACATTTAGACTAAGAATTACAATTATAGTAATATTATATTTTATATTAATGAGTAATATCATGTTTTTTTCTTGTAAAAACACGTCAAAAACATTAATTATCTACCGATCGTGAAGCAAAACAAAAGTGTCAAAACATTTGTGCTCTTGTTTTAAATACTTTTGCACTGACCACACGACTCTCGCGTCTCGTGAGAATTGCTACAGTGTGAGAATTTGTCTTGTTGTGCAGAATAAATTCAAGACCGTGTCGTTTTTCATCAAATATTATTTATATGTGGTTAGCCATCATAATATGCATAAATTACTGTGATGTACAATAAATGTGTATGAATTTGAATTTTGTGATCGATTCCCATCCAATCAGCAGCCTTGTGATGAAGTTCCTGTTATCGTAAGTTTTCACTTAAGTAAGTTTAGTTTAAGTTGTTTCTGGGAACGCTATTAAAATTAACCTTAACATTAACATTAGACTTAAAATTAATCGTAACTTTACGAAGTTTCTGGCAACGGGCCCATGGTTTTCAGCCAGACAACACCTGTCAGCTGCTACGATCGAACATTGCAGTGAACGCCCATAGTTACCCCGTTTTTTTACTACGTTCTGTAGGCAAGCTTCACACTGCTCTACATTAGTCAGCAAGCAGCTCTCTTGCACACACACATTTCTCTGCACACACTTTTGCATACCTTGGAGCCGTGGAATGCCGCAGATTACGAGGAAATACAGTAATACCACACATTACGATAACTCATGTTATGTGATTTCATATTTGCACACATATATGCAACTTGTGTAAGTTATGGCCACTTTACACTCATGATACGAAACGAAGATGCACTCTCACGTAACTTTTGAAAGGAATGATTTGGTTTTACTAAATCCCCCTTTTCTTGAGTGACTCACGTCGTGGAATTTTGCAGGACGAACGTTATAACGTAGAGTTAATTACTGAACATTGACGCCAGTGAGAGCAAGCTTGCTAGCGGGTGAGCGAGCAACGTAAATACGTACCTCGGCCATGTTGAGGAACGGTTCGAACCCTATGAACCCACCGATAGTGTAGTGGACCAGCTCCGAGATGTACGCTGCGAGCAAAATTAAGGCAAAGTGTCTAATCGAACCTCATTATACAATGCACTCAAAAAGGGCTACTGGAACGTGAAAGATTTATTCGAAATCCACCACAGTCACTCTACTAGGGACTGTAATGGTTACCTATACAGGTACAGCGTATAACATTGCGAGGTAGAATTTAAAAAAATTGGGTCTTACCAATCATATACATGATCCACACAAGTAGATTGATCTTGGGGTAGGTGTACCCCAACCCTTCAATCTGTGGATGAAAATAATATTGCAGTTATTTGATGGTACCAATCCATCGTGTTAATCGCGTTGTACTACAAAGTATCTATATCTACATGTGGGTGTACCATGTGGGTAACCAAACAAAATTTGATGAAGACAACTGACAAGACACTTCTATGTGATATGACATAAAAAATAACAGGGCGGCACGCACACTTACATCATACATAATTAATCTAAACTCATGCAAGTTGTCAACGCTATGTCAAGATTAGCACAATCTTTATATTTACGGAGCTGACACTGCAAAAAACTGCGAGATGACGCAGCACATGCAACAATTAACTGTTGCACTGTGTCACTGTAAGACTGCGCACATTGTACAACTGCTCACAACATGTGCTGTGTACTATATAATACATACCAGAGGTTTGAAGAATTCGAAGTTATTTATCGGTGTTCCATCGGTTATCGTATAAGCTTGCCCCGCCTGCATATACACAATGCGTCATGATCAATAATTACCAAGCAATCTATTATAGCCATCACGGGGTAAAACACTACCAAAATCAATAAGCAATAACTGCCAGCTGAGTTGAGTCTCTCTTAATAACTAGGAAACAAGAAAGGAATACAGGAAAAAAACCGTTTAATAACACCATCCGGTTTGCAAGCCTCAATGAAACTTTGAATCGTAACTCAGAGTAACAGACTAACAGTATTAGACCGAATACATCAATACGTGAAAAATTGAATAATACAACACAGCTCTTCTGTGTATTTAATAGAACAGCTTCATATCAGACTAAAAGGAATTTCAACAATTACTTTGCAACCGACTCGTTAGTGGATTCCACTATAAACAGAAGTGGTCTGTAAATAGTACGCATGCATAATTCACATCGTAATCTTCTCACCGCGACGCATTTGTTCTGCGGAGTGAGGGCCTCCCCAGCCTTGACGTGTGCCTGCACTAGGTTGGTGATGTGCACGTAGTCAGACTTAGCAGTCCCAAACTTGAATATGAGAAAGCCACTACGCAAGTGATTCTGCAACAATAACACCACCAGACTCTCAACCTCTCCAACGACCGCTGTGATGAATTCATAAGCAGTAAATTGAATGGATTATTGGCGAGCGTTTAAACACCACGGGTAAACAGCAGCATTAGAAGCGCCTCAGATAGTGACGTACAGTAATACAGATATATAGTCAACGCAACAAGCTACGAGAATGAAATCAGTGATCTGTTCGAGTAATATCTGGAAAACTTCGTCATTGGGTATTAGTTGGATTTTAATACGCGTTTCCCATGTGACGTCTACGTGAACAAATTTATGATTCACCGTTAGTGGATTTGAATGAGAATAAAAATGAACCCAACCCTCGCATGTTATCAACACATGTTCAAATTGAAATATAGTGCACGTATTACTACTTTTATACAAAATGTTTACCGATCTATATAACATGGGCGACCTGTGAATAGTGAGTAGATTATACTATATTTGCCTGCTATCTCTTATCAGTCGTAACTAATCAGCAGGAGAGGCAGACATGGTCTTTGCCATTACTGAAGCCACGTATGCAGATTCCGAAGTTACATTAGTACATCGTACACATATGTATATCCTGAATGGAGCAATTAATCATGATAACGGTATTTCATACGTGTCCAGCTACATATTACACAGCCTCGGCACTCGGAAAATAATTAGCCGCATTTCAAAACAAAATTTCATCCGATGAAAACTGACACATTTGGCGGACAAACAACGGATAACAATGCCTTCCGACAGAGCAAGTAATACTACCCAGCTGAGAGGGTAAAAAAAACAAAGTACCACTGGGTATAATCAATAATATGCCGACCGCGTCCCATCGCCTCCATACCACTAACGAGTCTAGCAGGATCCGCCTACGCCTACTCCCTAAGCCTCAAACTCCCTAAACGCCTAATCCGCCTAACCGCCCTAAAACCCTAAATCCTAACCCTAACTCATATCAAAATACGGTGACCACGGGTACGTTCCGGGCAGTACCCCCTGGGGACAAGACCGGCTATGGACGGATGGACTATACCTAACAGAAATTCTAATTCTTGTGTATAGTCGTATCATGCGTTCAAAAAGCGCTAGGAATGTCAGCCGATCCAGTCAACGT